AACTGATAAGATGATGGCTGACATTAAAGTAATAATTGAGATGATGAGAAATGGATTCTAAATGTATTTTGAAAGTAGAGTCAGTGGATCTTGCTAAGGTGTTGAATTGTCCATTGTATGAGAAATGCAGAAGAGCCAGACTTAAAGTCAAGATTTGGGCCAACTGAAAAAATGAAGATGCCATTTACTGAAAAGGAAAAAATTACAAGAGATTCTTTGAAGGCAAGGTGAAGAAACTGGGAGTTTTGATTCCAAGTTTTCATCTCTAAGGCCTTCAGATGATGAATAGTGTCATACCGATTTAGCTGTTTGCTGAGCTACCACATTAAACTAATATTAACCCTCAGAATCACGTAAGTTATCAACCCGGGTAAGAATTTCTGATGATTCAAGAACACTTTTTTAGGGCTGACTTGTTCCCTAATGCTCAGAATGTTGATTGTGCATTTGAATAAGAGATGAAGTCCAGTTCAAACTATTTTTAAAACGAGAAATTTACATATTCAAGGTAACACTAACGAGTTGTAGCCTTAAGTTACAGCCCAAGACCTAATTATACATCAATACATTTTTAAGAACTAAGCTAGAATTTCTTTCCCTTTCCTCCAACAACAAAAACTAGGTACTATAGATGGTCCCGGACTTATGATGGTTCAACCTACAATGTTTTGACTTTACGATGGTGCAAGAGAAATACACATTCAGTAGAAACCATACTTCAAAATTTGAAATTTGGTATTTTCTCCAAGCTAGCAGTATGTGGTAGGACACCCTCTTGTGATGCTGAGCAGCAGCAGCGAGCCACAAATCCTAGTTAGCCATGCAGACACAAAAGTGAAGTGATATAATTAAACCATTCTGTACCCATACAACCTTTGTTTTTCACTTTCAGTATTCAAGAAGTACATGAGACATTCAACATTTATTATAGTCTTTGAGTTAGATGATTTTGCCCAAATATAGGCTAATGTAAATGTCCTGGGCACATTTATGGTAGGTTAGGCTAAGCTGTGATGTTTGGTAGGTTAGGTGTATTAAATGTTTTTTCAACTTAAGATTATTTCAACTTACAATGGGTTTATGGGGACATACATCATTGTAGGTTAAGAAAGATCTGTACTTTGTTGTACACTATAAAATACTCTCAAATATTAAAGAGATTAGAATTACTTTATTATATTAGCACTGTCTAAAAAGAACCGTGAAATGGAAATGTTCTATATCTACACTGTATAACATGGTAGCCACTAGCCACATGTTAGCTATTGAGCACATGAAAATGTGGCTAATGCAACTGGGGAACTGATTTTTCAATTTTACTTATTTACATGTTAATAGTCCCATGTCACAAGCGGCTACCATATGGTAAAGCAGAGCACTATACTGTTACATCCTCTTGATGTAACAATTTTCAGTGAACACAAAACTCTGGAAATTGGCTGTGTACTTGTTAAATTATAAGAAGATTCCTTAATGTATAAGTATTTTCCCAGCTGTGTAGAACAGAGGAAATATATACTATAAACTTGTATGTGGGTGTGCATATATACACCCAATACGTGTAAGGATACATCATAAGCTTGTAATACTAGTTTTCTCTGGGAGAAGAAAATGGGTAACTAGGGGTCACAGTTGGAAGAGAGAGTGTTCCCGATGTATCTGTTTGAACATGTAAGTGTTTAATTTTAGATCACATAAATGTTTTATCTACTCAAATACAACTTTAGGGTATAATTTTTTGATTAATGCTAACCTACACACCTTTCCCTAAATATTTTTCCTACATGGTTCAAATCAAAGACTGACAGTTGAACTAAGTATTATCTTCTGAGTACGTCTCTAAGGTGGTCTGTAAGTAATACTTGAAAATAAATCTTAGAAGTGACAGCCAATTCCTCAGCTTCTACAAAACATCAATGTCCCACCCCAACCCCACCTCACCAATCCCCCTGTTTCAAGCAGTCTAAATTAGATGTAGCTTGGTGTTCTGACTACTGAATATTAACTCACTGGCTTATTTTACAATAAAATGATTATTTTGCTTCCACTTTCTGTTAAGTGCTACTCTTTTTGGGCTCTCGTGCTCAGCAGAGTGACTTGTAAAGAGCCAAATTTATCTGAGTTCAAATTTGGACTCTGCCCTTTACCAGCTGCATATCCTCAGACATTACAGATCTACTGTATCTCAGTTCCCTCATCTGCAAAAAAAGTAAATAATAATCTTTACTCCACTGGCTCTTTGCAAGGATTAAATAGGCGAATATATGTAAAATGGTACCTGACATAAAAAATTCAAATTATCCTGTTGATAGCTATCATAATACCAATAGGTATGTTTTAAGTCTATTTTAAAGCCTCTACAAGCCCTTAAAGATACAGATACAATTCTGTATTTTGCTATGCAAATTCTAAACAATTGTGCTTCTATTTTCATTTTTTTAAAGATTTTATTTATTTGACACAGAGACTGAGCACAAGCAGGGGGAGCAGCAGAGGAAAAGGGAGAAGCAGGCTTCCCACTGAGCAGGGAGTATGATGTTGTGCTGAATCCCAGGACCCTGAAATCATGACCTAAGCCTAGGGTAGATGCTTAACTTGACTGAGCCACCCAGGCACCCCTGTGCTTCTATTTTCAATAAATTTGATTTGGGGAAGGGAACTATGTGCTCTCAAAGTACCAAACCACTTTCAGTAATTACTTTGGTTTCTTGTAAAAAAGAAAATACAGTGGGAATTCCTATATTAGCATTAGTAGAGAATTCAACATGGGCCCCAGTGCAGGCTAGCTCTAGGTTGCAGCTTTTAGTGTTGTGTTTTGTATTTTTTCTCTAAATATGCTATATAGACACATCTCAGAAGACATAACCTAATTAACATGTTTAAACAATCTAGTTTTGTCAAAATGTAATAATATATACCAATAAGGGATGTAATATTTTGGGTTCGTGCTTTTACAAAATACGTGATATCCTAATGGTATGTTAATAACAGTTCTCTTTATCCTGAAAACTGATTATAAAATGATTAAGAGTTGTTATATTTTGGTTTTGTAAAACCAGGAAACTTACAAACTAACAAGCGTACTCAACGAATAATAAATTCTGTTAAAAAATACAGGCATTTTTAAGGTAAAATATATCAATCTACAGTTTACAATTATTAGTACATGAGGTAAAGGAGGATTTAAGTTGACGAAACATTTATTTATCAGGAGGAAAAAAAAACCCCCCAAAACTAGTAAGTGAACTGCTCTTACTTACATATGACATTTGTTAAGCAAAAACCATCCTGAGGGACCAGGACCATCTTAATTGGCCAGCACATCAGACAGATGAAATACAATATAATAGAAACAAAAATTTTCTTTTCCATAAAACCAAAGTCTAGGGATGCTAGTAAACTTAATGCAAATATAAAGGCTGCCAGACCAATCTTCTACATAAATGCCTTCCAAATTTCCATTTCAGACACAGGGATGAGGGATTTAGGGGAGACAATCTTTGAATCAACATTTTTACCTTCAATTCTTTGCTTCACTGACTTCTGACAGTTTGGCAAATTGGGGGTCATCACATTTAAAAGAAATGCCAAAGCTTGACAAATGCAATCTAAAAAAGATAGTATAAATTCTAAATGCCTGTGCAATTTTCAGTAGTTCCCAGCATTCTACCTCAAAAAGTTACCAGATTTAAAACTTAAGTCATTTCCTTTAGACGGTATAATTTTAGCAAAAAGCATTTTCCAAATTATGGGATAATTAAGGTAACACTAAAATCATATACCCAAAATTCAAGTCTTACATCATTTTGTTATTCTGGATTATTTGGTGTGTGGGTAGGAGGATGTATGCAAAGATTAACTTTTCCAGTATAATCCTATCTCAGTTTCTTCAGTACATGTTCAGGAATCTCTCTCTTTGGAACTAGATATTTTTAGCCACCAAGACAGTCCACTTAAAAATAGGTCTCCATCCCTCATCCTCCCAACTGCCATAGTCTAATTAATAATGTGCCACCTTCCACAGTTTGGGGCCTACTACTTACAGCTGATTGGAGATCCATTCCCAGCCAGGGCTGAAAACAAGCACACTCACCTTTGAGTTCCTGAGGTCAGCTTAGTACAAGTAGGAGTCATGGGCCCTTGATTGCCCTTCTCACTGTCCAACCTTATTTTTGCAATTACTCTATCACAGAAGCTATTTCCCTTGAAAATATAAGATTTATATGCTTACATGTTCAAATGCTATGCATCATCAGATCAAGACTTAAAAGTTAGAAGCATTAATTTGGAAAAACACAAAAACAAGAAACCTAAACTAGATATTCTCTCATTTTTAAAAAAAAGAGGCCCAAATTCTCTGGTTGTAGAATTTAAATTGGACTCTAGTTTAAAAGGAGAAAACAAACAGAGCAGTGATAGCATACATTTCCTGATTCCACAGAAATACTCAAATTCTTAGATAGTGCCGTACGTCTTTATGTCAAATTTTGTTAAACTTTACAACATCAGTGAACAGAAATGGAAAGACAGAAACATAAGCCTTCTATTATTATTTAAGAATAGGCATGACCTCAACCAAAATCAGATTAGAAAACTCAAAGAAGTATCAGGAATTGGTTTCTTTTAGGGAATTCTTAAAAAATCTACGATTTAGAATAACTTGTGCACACCAACTTTGACATTTTTTTCTAAATGAGTTAATTACTCTCGTGTAGCTATGTGAAATTTTTCAGAGTAATTTTCCTGGGAGGAAACTGGATATAATTTGGTACCTTCCCATTTGACAGTGACACTGACTAACAAATGGCAAGTGGGAATGGGAAGGAAGATGACATTAGAAGTATAGAGTGAAGTATGAGTCAAAAACAGTTAAAAAAAAAAAAAAAGAGGGGTAAAGAATTTGAAACCATAAGAAGAGAATCAAATTGTGTGTGTCTCTCTCTCTCTCTCTCTCTCTCTCTATATATATATATATATATATATATATAACAATTTTGTATCTTCAAAAAATAGAACTGGAATGTTATTTCACTTAAAATGTACAACATGCAAAATGCTCTGTAATGGTAAAAAAAAATGTACAACGATATAAATTTTCATAATTCTCCAATAAATGACATTTCTGGATCAAAAAATTACCATTACAAACCCTTTAATCAAATGTTTATTTTTTGTTTCCAGCATTACAATTTGCTGTGATTCATAAACTTGAACCTAAGCAAGTTTTTAGACACTGACCTCATAGAATTAGTTAGGTCCTTAGGTCAAACACTCACTTATCAAGCAAAGAAATCACCCAGCCACCGCTCTTGCCTGGACAACGCTCACTGCTACCTGAACAATGTAAAGTGCATAGGAGTTGTTTTGATGAATGGAGACACAGCTGTGTTTTGCACTAAATTTTCTATTACTGAATTGTATGTTTTTTCACCCGGATACCTTATGATCATTAGAGAAAACTACTTACTTAATGTTTTAGTCATATAGTATGTTAAATGTCCATTTATAACTGCAAGAAACTCACATTACAGACACACTATTGACTATATTATACAAAATCGGGGCCACAAGTTTCCGCATAAGAAGAGATTTACTTCTCTTTCTCTTAAAGCAAGAAATACCCCACAGTTCAGATTTACATGAGTAGTGCCTTTTTAAATAAATTAAAAATGCTGTCCAGTCTGTAAAATTATAAATATTTCTACTCATTTTACAGAATGTTAAAATGCTTATAAATGCATTACCTCCTAGTAAATACACATTATGGCACCGAAGCCAGTTAAAAAACAAAAACAAAAACAAAAAAAACAGCCATCAAACTGGCCTATGGAAACATCTAGGGTTATTTTGTATCTCCAACACTGGAAAAATTAAACTAAATAAAGAAAAAAGGCTAAGGAGAGATAAAAATTTTACAAAATGGCAACTACTATAACCTAAAAGAGTGGACTGACATGTCTTCCTTCAATTCAGTAACTAAGCCATTTCTGGAATGAACATTTATGGATAACTAGGTTAGGAGAGTGTTCCTCTTAGTGCTCAGGGCAGAATTATGTAGAAATAATTTCCACATTCTATAAGAAAAAAACAGAGTGACTGTTTAAAAACCAAGATTTAGCCAAAATGTTCAAGATTGGCAGGTTTTGATGGAGTGAAATCTTCAGTGGTCACAAAATTAAAAATCATAATCCTATGGATGCTGCTTATTTTTACCAATGTGAAGAAAGGAAACATGATTGCAAGGTACAATACATCCTGACAGGGTAAAATGAAAAATTATGAACAATTTAAATAACTAAAATGTTCCCTACTGAAACATAAAAACATGATTTCCAAATTGATTCAACTAGTAATGTCTCTTAGAAGTATGAAGTAGTATGAGTTCTGTAGACTGCTGAATTGCCCTTCACATTAAATATTTCCTCCATCTTAAAAAAAAAAACAGCTTCTGAATGGCATGGACTCCTTTGGTGTGGGAGAGCAGGCTCGCCGAACTTGAGTCCAAGGCTCCCTCCAAGGTGATTCATTCCATCAAATCTATAGTATCTCCAAATCTACATGTCGAACTTCAGGATTTCGTTTCTGAAACGAAAAATCACCACCACATTATTCATAGCAAAACAGAATTTTGTTTCCTTTTATTCCTTTAGATCACTAAAGCCACTGAAAACATATGGTCAAATGATTTCATGGTGGCATATTAGCAAGATAAAAATCAATAGAGGAAATATTATACACTATAAACAATACAGTAAGTAGCCCTACCTCCCTGAGTTTGTTCATATGTTCATTAATACATTAATGTATTAAGAATCTCATATGGGGGCGCCTGGGTGGCTCAGTTGTTAAGTGTCTGCCTTCGGCTCGGGTCATGATCCCAGGCTCCTGGGATCAAGCTCTTCATCGGGCTCCCTGTTTGGTGGGAGGCCTGCTTCTCCCTCTCCCACTCCCCCTTCTTGTGTTCCTGCTCTCCCTCTCTCTCTCTCTGTCAAAGAAATAAATAAAAAATCTTTAAAAAAAAAAAAGAATCTCATATGTGCCAAACATTGCAAAGCTTTCGAAATATACTAATTTGTGGTAAAAAGAAAATCACTGGAAGACAATAATATTAAGAAATGAACTGATATTCACTTATTTTATATATGTTAGCAACAACCCATACAGTTTTGGGCCAGGCACTGTGCTAGAAAGTAGAGCTATGATTATTAAATAAGATAGTTCCTGACCTTGAGGGACTCAGTTTAGCCAGGCAGCCAAGTATATCAATAACCATCTATGAGTTAGTGCATTAGAGCTAATAACAATTAATATTTAGGAGCAGTTACTCTTGTGTCAAGTACTGTGCTAAGTAAGGGGCTTCACATGCATGTGTATGTTTTAAAATCCTCTAATAACTCAATCATTTCTATTTTACATATGGAAAAACTGAAGTCTGAAGAAATTAACTAGCCTGCCCAAAGTTACATAGCTAGAAGGGATGAAGCCAGGATTAATTCCAGACCCCAAGCTCCTAACCATTACAATGACTATAATGCTAACTCTAGGAACAAAAATGTCAGATCTATTACTTTAACTCATGAGACCAGCAAGACTTCACCAAGGATATAGTATCTAAACAAGGCTTAAAAAGTAGTGAGTTTTCCAGAGAGAGGATGAAGAGGACCTAGACAGAACAGCCTGAACAAAGTTAGGGAGCCCAAGAAGTATACAGTGGCAGTACGGTATAGTTAGTCACAGAAGCTGCAAAAAGGGCAGGATTAGTAAGGAGGCTGGAAAGGCAGGCAGAAACCAAGTTGTGAAAAACTGTAAATGCTAGCTCAAGGAACTTCAATTCAATCATGACAGAAAATATCTTTATTACATGCCCACTCTGTGCCAGGCACTGAAGTATACAACAACGAATGGGAAACAGTACTTGTCTTCGATGAACTCTTGTCTAGGGAGGAAATGCAGGTAGGGTAAGCAGGCAATTGTAATAGTCTGCTACTTAAAGAGCAAGGTAAAAAAAATAAAGAGCAAGGTAAAGGTCTTGGGATTTTGAGTACAAAAAGGAAGGACACCTAATTCAATCTGTGGAGTAATTAAAAATGTAGTAAGATGTAACATAATGACACTGTGAAAATGGAGGGCAGAGAGAACATATAAAACTATTTAACTAATCTCCATCTGTCAAAGAGGAAATTTTTTTTTAAAGATTTTATTTATTTATTTGACAGAGAGAGACACAGTGAGAGCGGGAACAGAAGCAGGGTGAGTGGGAGAGGGAGAAGCAGGCTTCTCGCCAAGCAGGGAGCCCGATGCAGGGCTCGATCCCAGGACTCTGGGATCACGACCTGAGCCAAAGGCAGACGCTTAACGACTGAGCCACCCAGGTGCCCCAGGAAATAATGTTTAAATTAGGAGAAAGAGTTTAAGACTTTCATATAGGAATATGGTAGTAAATATAAAAGAAATACTAAAAATGGTTATCTCTGAGCAGAAGGATTGAGGATGGTGAGGGAGGTGATACTTACTTCTGTTTATAAGCTTTTCAGTTGTTTGACTTTATAAACTTTGTGTGTTATTTGATAAAAAATTATAGAAATAGGGGTGCCTGACTGGCTTAGTCAGAAGAGCGTGTGACTCTTGATCTCGGGGTCATGAGTTCGAGCCCCACTTTGGATGGAGAGATTACGTAAATAAATAAATAAATATTAAATAAATGGATAAACAAATCAACATGGGAGAAAAAAACTCTCCTAAGGGATTCTAATAATCAGTCAGAATTAATAATTCCTAACTTAAAAAATAACATCCTAGGAACATATGCATATTCCTCATATTAAAGGAATTCAATTATAAAGACAAAAATCTGATGTAATTCTGGAGTTTAGCTCCAGCTGGAGCATTCTACTGAGTGTACACTGAGATTTTTCTTATAACCAGTTTTGTTCAAGTATACCTGGGGGTTCTTTCCTCTTGGATCCTAATGCAAGAATGGCCAGGGGACCCCCAAACATGGGGGTACACTTTTGTTCTCAATGTTCTCTTTACCTTAAACTAATTGTTCTATCTAGAATTCCTTAAATTCAATACAGAATAAAAAAAGATTTCTTCAAACAGAAATGAAACTGAATTTTATTTTCCCTTTCCAATCCTCCCTAACCCCTCCCAATATGACTTTAAAAAGTTTAGCTATTAATGGAAAATTTGAAATTATTCTAAAAAAACACTATATAACAAATGTGTACCAATTAAAAATTTAATCTCAAGAAAAAGAAAGTAAAAAGTTGATGTACTCGGTTTTAAAATCAAGTTTTTAGAGAGAAAACTATCAAATTCCTAAAATGTAATGTGCCAAATACAAAGAAACACTGTATTAGCTGAATGAATGAATAAAAAAACAGGATTAATATCCTTAAATTTCAACGTTGAGTGCCTAACAAGAGAGCACGTGCATAGCAGAAACTGAATAAATATTGTTAAATAGAAATGAAAATCAGTAAGTGGTATTCAACTTATAATTTTCAGTTGTTTGCTCAATACTTATTTTTTTAAAAAAGATTTATTTATTTGAGAGAGAGAGAGAAAGAGCACTAGCAGGAGGGGCACAGGGAGAAGGAAGAGAATCTCAAGCAGATTCCATGCCAAGCGCAAAGCTTGATGTGGGGCTAGATCCCATGACCCCAATATCATGATCTGAGCCGCCAAGAGTCGGACGCCCAACTGACTGTGCCACCCAGGCGCTCCTCAACAAATACTTACTGATTTATTATGTCCTAGGCACTATCCAACTCGAACATTTTATATACCACAAATTTATTCCAAAACTCACTATGGAGAGATAAAAACCACATTGTGTAATTTATTTTGCAATGCTGCAGACTCAAGAAAATGCTATAGGAGCATACAATTCGAGAAGCACAAGACGGACTAAAGAGCAGAACATTTAAATGGAATACTACTTATTAGGAATTTGCAAATACTATGGCATCTTCCCACTGAATTAATTCCCAATAAAATTATTGCCTCCCAAACACAAAAAAACTTCATGGAGGGATAGGAGAAGGGTCTATCCACAGATTGAAATATAGAGGTAGAACAAAAAAAATTTTAATCAGCAGTTCAAAGAAGTTAAAAATAAGAACAAAATATATTTCACATTTATAATACGGGACTTTATAAATTAGCTTCTATTATTTTTCATGTTTTTACATAGAACTATCCAAGCTATAGATTTTATGCCAAAAATACCATCTATTCTAATAATTAGCTCAATGGCATTACTCAACAGAGATGGCTATACTGCTAAATTTTATCACTGAGTGTGATCTTCCAAAATAAGTAAAAAATTATTAAACTTAGAAGGCAACACGCTTAGATACTAAAAAGAAGGGAATATGCTAAAGTTTTAGTTTTCAAAAGAAAATCAGCTGATTTTCATAACAAGAAACAAGAATTACATTCATGCACTCTCTTGGTTTGGTGCCTCAATTATGAAGAACTTTCCTTTAAGATAAATTATACCTTATCAACTTAGAGAGGTTTTTTAACATGAAAGTATGGGTTAAACTTTGTTTCTTGGCTTGAAAGACTTATAATTCAAAATCACGTATGAATTAGTTCAGTCTATTAAAGATTTAATAGCTTGTAATTAAAGCACAAAGTTAGCTAAACAAAAACAATAAATTTATCTGATTGTGGTAAGAGTAAATATAAGTTAAGAATGACCAATTTGTTAACTTAAATCTGGCTTCTGACTTATTGTTTCTATTAAAGAGTAAAGCTAAAAATAAAGATTTAGTCTAAAAGTCCATTATTTGGAGGCGCCTGCGTGGCTCAGGGATCGAGCCCCGCCGAGCCCCGCATCAGGCTCCCTGCTCAGCAGGAGGCCTGCTTCTCCCTCTCCCATTCCCCCTGCTTGTGTTCCTTCTCTCACTGTGTCTCTCTCTGTCAAATAAATAAATAAAATCTTAAAAATAAATAAATAAAAAGTCCATTATTTTATCCATGTCAGGGAAATAAAAACAAACAGAATGGAAAAGCAAAGTTTATTTATTCTCATGTCACCCTGCACAAAAATAATCATCTTGCATTATATTTAGAAGAGTGATTTTTCAAAGTGTGGTCCAAAGATCCTGAAACCTTTTCTTTCTTCAAAAGATTTTATTTATTTATTTATTTATTTATTTATCGCACATTTGTGTGAGAGTGTCTGTGAGGACGTGCACGAGCGGGGGGAGGGGCAGAGGGAGAGGGAGAAAGACTCTCAGGCTGACTCCATGCTGAGTGCAGAGCCTGGATGCTGATGCGGATGCCAGGCTCAATCTCACCACCCTGAGCAGATATCAAGAGTTGGTCACTTAACCAACTGAGCCACCCAGGCGCCCCCTGAAACCTTTTCAAGGGGGATTCCAAGGTCAAAACTATTTTCATAACAACACTGATGTCATTTGCCTTCCCACTATGCTGGTATATTTCCTCTGATGACATATAAAAGCAATGGTAGATAAAACTGATGGCATCTTTGCACAATTCAAGGCAACTGGCACGGAACTATACTGATAGTCACTGTGTTCCTTTATTGTCAGACACATAATTTTTTTTTTAAAAAGCCAGTTTCACCTTAAAATGTCCTTCATGATCAGGGCACCTGGGTGGCTCAGTCGGTTAAGTATCTGACTCTTGATCTGGGTTCAGGTCATGATCTCAGGGTCCTGGGATTGAGCCCCCAGTTGGGCTCCACACTCAGTGCGGAGTCGGCTTGGGATTCTCTCTCCCCCTCTCCTTTTGCCCCTCCACCCACTCACGTTCTCTTTCTTTCTAAAATAAATAAAATCTAAAAAACAAAATGTCCTTAATGAAAAAATAAATAAAAGAAAATAAAATGTCCTTCATGAAGTAGTAAAAACATTGGTTTATTAAACCTCAACCCTTGAGTACACTTTTTAAAATATTCTGTGAAGGGGTGCCTGGGTGGCTCAGTCGGTTGAGCCACCAACTTGGTTGCAGCTTGGGTGGTGAGGCTCAGGTGGTGAGTTTGGGGTTGAGGGATCCGCCTTCAGTAGGCTCTGCACTCAGCAGAGCCTACTTGAGATTCTTTCCCTCTCCCTCCCCTTCTGCTCTCCCCCCACTTGCACTCACTCATGTGCTCTCTCTCTAATAAATAAATAAATACAATCTTTAAAAAATAAAATATTCTGTGACAAAATGGGAAGTATTTCCAAAGCCCTTCTGCTTCTGAGGTCTGATGTCACAAGGAAAAGCACCTGTGTGATTGCTTGAATTATGGGTTGACTCAGATGCTTTTTTATCTAAGCACCATTTAGGGGCTCTTGGCTGGTTTAGTTGGTAGTGTCTTGGTGCTACCAAAAAAAGTGAGCTTATCTAAACCCCAGTTTTACTTGAAAGAAAAACTAACAAACTATGGTTATTTAAATATGGTATTTGGCAGGGATCTTCTTAAAAAATAAAATAAATCTGTTACTTCAAGTAAAACAGTAATATTTGTTGCTAATGGTAAAATGCAAGGTTTCAAATGAAAATCAGAATGCTGAAAAATTTTTATCTACCACCATGACCTTGACAGCTTCCTAATACTTAGAAATGTATCACCATTTGAAAGATATGCATAAATCCAGTGAATTAGTATTTTCCAAATGGCCAATTCGTAACATTCCAGAATCATGCATGGGTTAAAAGATCCATTCAAAGTACAAAGATAGACTAATGGATTTTAAAGTAATAGTGTATAGCAGATAATTAATCATACCTAGAGAGAGGTCCGGCCTTGGCCCTTGGCCTATGGGAGGTGATCTCTAGGCCCTTGCAATGTCCTGGTTGATAATTTTGTCTTTATCTTTGGCCATACAGTATATGCTATATATCCACAAGGGAATGGAGACGAAGAGTGTGGGCTTTTCCCTGGAGTGGCTAGAGATGAAAGGATGACCACTCATGCAGTCAACCATGGAGCCCCAATAAAATCTCTGGACACCAAGGCTCAGTTAAGCTTCCCTGGTTGGTAATACTCTGTGCAAACTGTGACATCATTGCCAGAAAATAACAGTGTCTATGACTCCATGGGGAGAGGACAACTGGAACTCTGTCCTATGCATCTCTTCCCTTGGCTAGTTTTAATCTGTGTCCTTTCATTGTAATAAATCATAACCATGAGTATAAAAGCATTCAGTGGGGGTGCCTGGGTGGTGCAGTCAGTTAAGCACCAACTCTTGGTTTCAGCTCAGGTCATGACCTGAGGATCTTGAGACCAAGCCTCGAATTGGGCTCCACACTCAGTGTAGAGTCTGCTTGGGATTCTTTCTCCCTCTCCTGCTCATGTTCTCACTCTCTCTCAAATAATCTTTAAAAAAATAAACAAATAAAAGCATTCAGTGAGTTTTGTGAGTCCTTTCTGTGAATTATCAAACCTGAGGGTGATATGAAGAACCCCTTGAAATTTGCAACTGGTGTCAGAAATGAGGGTGATCTTGTGGACTATGCCCCCTAACTTCATAAACAGTATGTAAAAAGTTCTCTGATATAGTTTCAGGTTCCACATTGCAACTAAGCTTTAAGAGGCTACCAGTTGTCAGGTATTGGTGTAATATCCAAAAAGAATATCACAATTATCTGAAAACACTGTTAAGAATACTCTTAAAGATTCCTCCCTTTTCCCTTTTCTTCATATTCTTCAACCAAAACAATGTATGTCAAGAGAATGAATGCAGAAACAGATAAGGGAATCTAGCTTAGATTTTTTAAAAAATGTGAAACAATACCACTCCTTTCACTATTTTTTTCATTTTGGAAAATGCAGTTACTTTTCATTAAAATGTTATATTAACATGTAATAGTTTATTATAGTTTTTAAATGAATATTTTTAGAACCCTTTTTTAATATATGATTCAGTAGGTATCAATATTAATTCAAATAAATAAAAGCTCTTTGGGTCCTGAATAATTTTTAAGAATATAAAGAATCTTAAGACAAAAATATTTGAGAACAGCTCATCTACAAACTTAAAAATCATGTTGTGAACTATAATATTAACATAAACAAAATCATATTATTTGAAGTGCTTCTATTTCTCTGGTACCTAGAGTCTAAAAGAAAAAATAGTAAGTGATAGAAATGCTTCCCTTCAATTTTTGTTATTTCCCTTCAATTTTTAACAAAACTAAAGAATGATCAACATCAGCTGAAGAAAATGCATTGCCTTCAACAAGATATTTATGTTAAAGATCATTTATAAGTTTTATTTATTGCAGTAACTTGAACTCAAGAGTCAATAAATGACAATTTGAGAACACTGAGATTTTTAAAGATAGTCTTATCAGGTAATATTTCAGTAAAAAACCAACAGGTTGTAATGATCTCCAACTCAAACAGAAGCAACAAAAAGAAAATATAAAATAATGACGGAGTAAAAGGAAGATGTGTGTATGTTCAAGGTCACATTCTGTTTTTTCAAACTTTTGAAGAGAATCTAGTTTCCCTTTCACCTTTCTCTAGAAACTTTTAAAATGCTTTTTATTTCAAAACAAAAAACCTTTAGCTACTTTAGAAACTAAGCAAGCACTACAGAACAGTGGTTGAAAGTACAGAATTTGGAATTGACCAACAAAGGTTCAAATCCCAATCCCCTACTTCCTTGAGTAAATTGCCCAACTTCTCTAACCCAGTGATTTTTCTTGTTCACAACTACCAGTCATACACCATGAGGTTACTGAGAAGATAAACATATACATGTGATACAATCAGCACATTGTTCTGACACAGAGTAAGTACTTAAGAAACAGTCAGCATTATGATTATTATGAATACATCTTACTTTCAGTTCTTTCTCAAGTCTATCTACTTCAGCTCCTAAAGTATCAATAATATTTTCTCCATGTTTAAGCATAAAGGTCTCTAGTTCTTCAGGAGTTTTCACTTCTTGAATTTCCTATAAAGAAAATGACAGCGGGAAAACAAAATAACTTTTTAAAAAATCATAGTAGTACACCAATGATTTCTTTAAAAAATTATAACAAACACCATTAAGTTTAATGAAAAACTTTCACGCTAAAGGTGATGGACCACCTAGTTCCAAAAACATTTAATTCAACAAAAAATTAAGAATAATACTTCACAGAGATAGCATTACAAAATTAGTGGGAAAGGAACAGACTATTCAATAAACAGTGCCAGGGCAATTATTTTTCTATAGGAAAAAAAGATTAAACCCCTACCTCAGATCATTAAACAAAAAAAATAATTCTAAGTGAATTAAAAAACTAAGGGTAGAAAACAAACCACAAAACTTTTATTAGAAAAAAAAAAGAGTATTTTTATGATACTGAAGTAAGTATTTCTCAAGCAAGATAATAAAAAGCCTAGAGAAAAGGATTATAAATTGGACATGAAGTTAAAAAACACACTAAACCTTCTGTGCAATAACAACGTGAAATGGTAAATCACAAACTAGTAAAAGATATTTGCATATACACAACTGAGGAAGGATTAGTGTCCAGCATATTAAAAATAAAATGTTTATTAATTTGTCAGAATAACAGAAATTAACTAAATAAAGCAGTAGAGGAAATCCCAATGGTCAACAAATTTAAATGCCTACTAACCTCACTACTACTACCAGGGGGAATAGAAATTATAATTAAATATAAATAGTAGTTTTCACATCTATCATAATGACAAAAATTTCAAAACTGTGAATATAATACCATCTAGTAAGAATGTGAAGCAAGAGAAACTTTGATGTACTGATGATGGAAATTAAACTGACACTCTTTCGAGAACAATTTGACAATACCTGGGGAAGGTGAAGGTAAGTTTGTTTTGTTTTGAAGTAGGCTCCACACTCAGCGTGGAGCCCAACACAGGGCCTGAACTCATGACCCTGAGATGAAGACCTGAGCCAAAATCAAGAGCTGGACACTTAACCGACTGAGTCACCCATCAGGTACCCCAAGTTTACTCAAAAGCCCAATATTTTAAATCTAGCTATACAGTACCCTAAAGAAATTCTTATACATTTGAACAAGAAAACATATGGGAATGCCATTGTGGACATAACTGTCCATCAAAGGGAGACTGGATAAATAAATTGCAGTATATTCATAGGAGATTATATAGCAATTAAAATAAATTAACATATAGGGGTGCCTGGGTGGCTCAGTTGTTAAGCGTCTGCCTTCGGCTCAGGTCATGATCCCAGGGCCCTGGAATCGAGCCCCGCATC